CAATAAGAAGTATAATGTTCTCGTTTCAAATACTTTTATATAACAACGGCAACAGAAAAGAGAACTTTTAACTTTATACTCTGAGCTCTGTGAGCGCTAACCTGGAAGCTGCTGCCGCGGTGCATGCTGGGATAGCTGTGTCTCAAGAACAGACAAGTCTGCTCTGATGCATGCTGGGTAATGAGGGAGGGGTGAGAATAACATCCGGGGACTTTGTCCTTTCCCTGTCTGCTGTTCTTATGAAATGGAACAGTACTAGGGCTGATGAAGTTTCATAAAAACACGAGCCCATGAGAACGGACAAGTACACATATTGAGAAACACTATTATATAGTGTTTTTACTCACTATTTGTCTCTCTGTAATGACATTATTTCTCCCACAGCATCAATAACATGTACATCACTTCCTGTGGCAGATTATGCAAATTAGGCGATGACGTCATTTAGCGACTTCTAGCGACTTTTAGCACAGCCAATAGCTACTTTCCTTAATGAGGAGTTGGCAACACTGGATGGTAATCTGGATTAACTGACTGCACAGACCATGTTTTCAGGTGGACTTTCTCACTTCAACATAGATTCAAACTAATTTTTACCCACTGATCACAGCTAATATAGCAAAGCTGCTCTCTGGCATTGAACACAGGAGCAGCAGAAGCATCTGGAAACACTTTACTGAACGTCTGACCTTAATGTGGACAAGCAGCAGAAAGGAAGCAGCAGCGTTTTTACTGCTCAAAGCGTGTGCGGTGTGAACGTAGCTTTACTCTCCATCTGAACTGCATACAATACAAACAAATGCTAACAAAACTTCCTGATATCATTAATTAAATAGACCATAGAGTTATTTCTAGCTGCTAATTTATTTAATGCATTCGTTTGGTCCTCATGTGAGAGAAAAGCTAATACCACAGCAGGAATGCAGAATGGGACAGCAAAGAAACAGAAGCACTGCAGTGCAGAAGGAGAAAAACGCAGTAGGATGTCTGCTTTTTCGGCCTAAAGGGATGAACCATGAAGTAGGTGCAAGTGGTTTTAAGATGATCTGACTGAAGTAGCCCCAAATACAAGGCAGCACATGGTGGTATCACAGAGAGGCGGTGGGGGAGGTAAAACCTCTTCCAGCTGGAAAACAAACGCGTTTGTTTTAGGCTCCATGAATGAATTACTTAAAATCAGGGATAGATCCATTTCACAAAATTCAGAAGTGAACTGTTTAGGAAGCAAACTCCCTTCACAGCTTGGTGATACCAAGCAGGGCTGAGGAGACTTAAATGGTTGGTTTATGCTTGATGCATAGATCTATGCTTTGCATGGAACACTGAAGACAAAGTAACACGGTAATGTAGGCTTGAGTTCATTATCTGACGCATGCAGATACACACCAGGAACCTGGAAACTTCAAAAATACTGAATTACAAAAAACATTTAAAAAACAAACATGTTTCATTGATATATATATACAAAAATGAATATTAGGAACTGTATTTATCAAACATTATACTGGGCAAGTAAAAATTGTTTCTGGGCAAATTAAATGTGAAAGTCACTTGCCCAAAGGGCAAGTGGTAAAAATCCTTAATGTCAACCCCTGAGATTGATGTTTATTAAGGAATTGTAGGGGACCAGCCAAGGGAAGCGGGGAAATTTTGAGTTGGCTACTTCTTGTAAATAAAGCTTTTGCCGATTCTGATTTAACTGCTACTGGTTCTGGGAATAAAAACGGATCCAAGAGGCAGGGCTCCACGCCATGCTGGCCATTTAGCCTCACAACAGGGTGATAGACGGTCAGACCGATGCTCCCTGGAGCCATGTTACCAGAATAGCTAACAAGCTCTGTAACTGATGAGGACGTTCTAGCAGCTGAGTCACACTAGAAAATCCCAGCTGGCTAAGAACCCGGGAGGAAGGCAGATAATGTTAATGATGGCAGATTACCTCAGAGAAGATGATGGAAAAGCAAGAGGATGCGACAGAGAGAAAGGGATCAGATGAGACTGAACCAGAGAAGTACAGATTTTACTTCAACATCTACTGTCTGTGTAGGAGACAGAGGACGCCCACTGATTAGTTGAGATGAGTTAAAAAAGGAAAGAAAATAAAAACTCAGGGGGAGATGGTCATTACCATTATCATTGCTATAGTTCATCAGCATGCCACAAAAGACAGTCAAGAGCCTCGCATTTTCAGGGTTGGTATTTTGGGAGAGGGATTTAATGTGTTCAGCTACTATCTGAGCCCCTCCTGCCAGGTCAACAGCATTCCTGCCCTCATCTGAAAAACAAAGAGGCCAGGACAAAAAATATGTATATGGATACATATCAACCACAAAGCAAAGTAAAAAAATAAACACAACTGGGAAGAAAAACAAAAGGATGAACACAGAGCTGACAGCTTACAAAGCAGTGACAGTAAAATATGGCGTCACAGTTATTTCAAAACGCCAGCGAGAAAAATAAACATAATCGCACGCATGTTAAAATATTTCTGCGCATAGTTTATCTACAACCGCAAGAGAAAAAAAATCACACATGCGCGAGAAACTGCCCCTCCGTGAGGCGAAAAAATATATATAAAATCGCACTCCGCGCAAGCTAGCTCCTCCCACGCGCCAGCCTATGACTGACAGCTCATCATCAACGGACGTTTGCGGTAAGTGGCAAGCGTCAGTCAAAGGCTTCCCGTTCTTCGCGTATGATCGCGTCTTCAAGGCCCATTTAGGAGGCTTAAAGCTGATTTGTACTCAGAAACCAGGTCGCTGCATGTGTGTTGCAGTGAATGCAAATGCACCTCCGCCTCCTCCGTAGTCATTCTGCTGCACCTCTTCCAAATTGTAGGTGACCGCAGACGGGAGTAACCTGACTCCGCCAGATGGATTTGCTCCGCATATCCATCTGGAAACCTTCCGT